TAGGAATGTTTAACGTGTTAGTTTATGTGACCTTTCCCCACTTGGGTCAAGTGACACGTCATGTTCTGTCTTGGTTTTCACACACGGCCAAGGCAATTGGAGCGGCTGCACCAATCGCTTTTGGGCACACAGGTCGGGGCCTAGTAAGCGAATGGCGATCGCCTCGGCCATAGCTAGTGTCCAAACTCGGGCCGCCCTTGAGCGATTGATTGGGATGCGATAAACCACATAAAAAGCTTTCTCCAGATCGATCTTGTGGCCCGTGTCGACGAGATGCCCCACAATGGCGCTTGAGATACAGCCGGTTTTTCCTACACGCACACACACACATACACACTCCCATTACTCTCCACCTCCGAATATTGACTTTAAAATGAGTCAATGGCTATGATTATGTAAGAATTTTTTCCACCATATGATATGTAAGAGCATGGTTAGGAATATCCAAAAACAATTGTTCGCTCACCTACTCGTTTTCTTAATGCTATTATGGGAATATTCAAGCTTTTAAAATATAAATGTCTTTTACTTCCTTTTTCTATTTATTGAATATACAAATATACAGTCAACTTACAGGAAAGGAGCTGCCTGGGGAAAATATAGATATAGGGCGGCGGTTAAGCGGTTTGAACCCCAGACACTCAGTTCACTAGTTGGTGACCTAACCACTTGGCCACCACCGCCCAGTGCACAGTTTGTGGTCTTCTTTGCATACTTCATAAATAATTTCGCAGCAGTAGGCTTCGCCGTTGATTGAGGGGTAAAAGTTTCGATTGTATCGGTCATCCTCAATGTACTATATCCAGCGGGCTTTGGTGTTTCTGCGCACGGTAGGCTACTCGTGCACCCGTTTGAACTACTTGTTTGAGAGAGTGTTAATTCCTCGTTGGTTCTCGTCCGACCGTGGACCCTATGCGTTGAAGTTTGCGAAATGGATTGTACATCCAACTGATACCATGTACACTACCTAATCGCGAACGGGATATATATATATATATATGATTTTAATTTAAAAGTTTCACGCATTGCAGTTAATTCGAATATTCCATCTTGATGATCACTTGTGAATGAAAATGTTTATGGATTTTTTATTGTTTCTTTACATTTTATTTGAAACGTCGTTTCCCATTTTCCCTCCTCAGCACGTCAGATAGTCGTGTCCTTCTCTTCACAACGAACAGTCAGTTTTTGAGTTTAACGAATCAGTGCGTCCGTGCCATACGGAGCTACATCACGAAGTATCTGATGTTTACTTATCCACGTCAGCCGGACGGAAACGGACCGCTGAACTACAATCCACTGAATGATCAATTAAGCTGCCTGTTGCAGCAAGCTATTCAGGAACTTCCTTTGCCCCCGCATGTGTTAAATCTCGTAACCTGTGATTTCAGTAAGAGCTCACGTCCCTATTATTACTACCCTACCGAATCTTGCCCAAGTCCCAGAAGTTGAACCGCCGTTTGGTCACCGTTGTTGCTGTCAGAGTATTTTGGCCAGTTCTGTTGATTTCGTTTTCATCATTTTACGCTTATGTGCCTTCCCCTCCCTGTTCCACCCATCAGTCGGATTCTCTCGATTCCAGTCTTTCATAATAATCTGCCCTTATTTCTCATTATTCCTTTCAGACAATCACAGTGTATGTGTGCTCTGTTCTAGTCACCCCGTCTCCTATTCTATGTCACTTGTGAAAAATAGACGTTTTATACTTAAGTGATAAGAAACAGTGCATCTGTTTTTCCCGACTATGGAAGTCCCCTGTGATTCCTGTTTGGTGACCAGCAGAAACGTCGTACGATATGTTGCGCTCGTTTTACTTGATAATTGTATTACTTCCAGTCTTACATAAGTTCCATCATTGTACTTATTTCCATAATACTTAAGGTGTACTTTCTAGCTGCAATGTGGATCGCGTAACTGCACTAAATATACGCATTGTGACATACTATTTTGCTTACAGGAGCTCCTAGTTTTATCATTCAGCCTAGTGTTGATAATCATGGAAGTAACAAGCCCCATAGTCAGCGATTTAATGTTTTGCTATTGCAAATTGATAAAATGGATCGTGGTAATCGCTGCATCGATCCACATAAGACTTGATGAATGGTCGGATTACCAAGATACTGTTGCAGTCGGGATGTGTGTGCTTAAAGTTCCAAGCTAGCTAAATAGAGTAGAGGGGTGTTGCATCACTTTCACAGTGGATGATAGAAAGAGTTTTCTTCCTGCCCCGATTCTTCTATTTTTAATTTTTATTATATCAAGACGATTAATCCGCCGTAGCTCGTTGAACGATCATAAGGGTCTATAAGGAAAGTCTGACGTTGAGTCAGTGTGAATCCACCTCACACCCGGAGTAAAATTGACTTTGTTTATTGCAAAATTTTGTGCAGTTATTCTGACAATTGTCTTAGCTTTCAATTGGTCTTCGTTTTCAGCTAATCATCATACTTTTTTTGAGATCAGATGCATTGGGTAGCAAACGAAAAAGTACGTGGTTTGGGGGGGGGGGTCCAGCGAACCTAATTTAAGGAAAACCCCAGGAGAAACTACTTGAAACGTGGATGCGGTGTGAGAGGTGCATATAGGCTGCGCGAATTCGGTAATAAAATTTTCATTCGAATGATTTTGGATTGCCGTCCCATAAAATCTTTCTGGAGTCCTACTGACATGCGAATCGGTTGTGCTGCATGGACACTTATAGGTACAGTTGTAGCGGCTCACAACGGCTTGTTTCATTTTTTTACCCAAGGTTCGTGATCGATCCTTACACAATGGTTGTGATCACCGGCGTAACTGAACTTCACTAAACATTATTGTTACAGGCAGTAGGATAGGGTTAGGTAGTAACAGCTTCCGGGTTTAAGAGCTGTCGAAGCAGTTTCAATACAATGCTGAAAAATTATCAGAACCACCCAGTTTCATGTATTTATTAATCAACTCAGCCTTTTATCTTTACCATCATCCTGGTACACCGAAATACAGTGAAGCGAGCATCGCTGATCGCTATCAAACTCGAAGAGCAAAGAGAGTTAGTGAGAATAATTGAGGTTGACAGGGATGAGGATAGAGACTGAACCTCTATAATCGACACATTACACAATCTTATAGCGCGTACATACTTTTTCGAGCATTATGACCTAATAAGCAACGACAACAAGAACTATATAGCCGTCAGTTCTTTGCCACCTCCCTCAGTATCTCCAACAAACGAGATGCAGGTTCTAGTGGATCCCAGCTTGGAAGACGAGAGAAGAGTGATTTTTTACTATCAGTTCTGTCAAGATAGTTGCCTTAAATTGGCCCCGTTACGCATTTTCAGTTGTCTCCGTTAACTTTGCCAAGATTTTGGCGGTACTTAAACGTGCCATTCATTTGCAATATGTTACAACCCCAACGTGCTACGCACTGCCTTGTGTAATCAGCTAATATCGTCCGCACTTATGTTCGCTGTTCCAGAAACTACCAAGTGTCCCACATACCCGATTATTTGCGTAAATAGAATCCAGTATAGATAAATAAAAATAAATAAACTAGGAGTAAAATTTGACTTCTCAATTCATCCCGGAGAAGACAGATTCCATCATTTCAGTGATCTAAAATACCGGACCACTGTTAATTTGGGCCTTTCTATGGCTTATTCGGGACTAGTCAGTACGCAGTCTTGCAGAATTACTTTGCACTTCGAGGATGGAAAGCATGGGGTAACACCACTTGCGAGTCTGTTAAGTGCCCTTTTCGCGTCTGCTATGTACACTCAAATACGCAGACTTTAAGTAGCACCACTTTTCTCCAACTGCCTATTAATCGCCAAAATTTTGGAGGAAATTTGGTGTTCTCCAGTATTTTGACAGAGATTAAATTGAACGATAAAAGGGTTCGTCTGGGACATTCCTTATCGAAGAACAGAATCCATTAGAGCTTCACGGTCAGCTGAGTTGAAGGCTGTTTTTAGTACAGGGAACACGGCAATCGTTCAGGTCAGGTTGCACAGGACTGAATATGGCCACGGTCAACGGAGCGTCGGAAATTCTTTGGATGATGTGCTCATTCCGTGGACACCCAGCTCTGTTGAAATATACAAATGAGAAATAGGGTCTCATCTCACCAAATTGGCAAGTGGATTGTTAGATGTTAGCTTCGCATTACGTGCAACGGTAAAAAGAGGACGGATTCATATACGGCATGTATAACGCAACTTGAGGACCTGATGCACCGTGAAGATTTTCTCGATACACCCAAGACCAAGTCCCATTCTCTTTCTCTATCCACGCATATTGGTTTCTGGAAAAGTAGTGGTAAATTTTCCAGAAGTCCATTTGGGTTTTGACTATAGTCACTCAAATATATTTCAGTAGTCTGTCTATAAACAACAGTTTCTTTACTATTAGACTACACTCACCATCGAAGGCCAGGTGAAAAACCTTCAATTTTGAATTGTTATTTACTAAAAAGCTTTATGTTTGGAACTGTACATTCCCATTTTGGTTTTGCGATTAGTAGGAACGACAACAGACCTAGCCCTTGTGACGTATGCTGTACGGGAGCACTTGTCCCCTGTTGAATTTGTTTGTGGTTGTTGATCGAGTTGTAACAAATGCTTCGGTATCAATTCTTCACGCAATCTTTTCGCACACATCATGGACCATGTATTTGTTTGACTGTATCAATTTTACATTCTTCTCAATATCGTTGACTCGAGCGGCTGGAGTGGAACTTCGCTATTTTTGAGACGCTGCTTGATTTGTATTTATCGTGATTCTCGGACATTGTGACCCTAGAGGTTTCATTATCGAGGTTCGTTGTGAATATGCAACTTCCATCTTATTGTTAATTAACAGTACCGTGTCAATAATCAATCAAACCCTTTTTTGACGATCGTCTTCTCTCCCTGGGATCAGTTCGGGCAATATTTGACTACGTGAAACGTATTGTTATCCGGATTGATCGTTCGGTAGAATTCGACAGACGTATCAATACTGACGCACGCGTAACTCGTTCGAGACGGGTCCTCCAGAATCAACAGTACTCGATTTCCTCCCGAAGTGAACTCTTTGATTTCCATATTGGTTATTGATTGTAATCTTCCCGTGGGTTTTGTTCCCAGCTTAAAAAAGACAATTTCTACGGAATGTCACGCGAGACAAAATCAAAGAAATCAGTGATTGCGGAAGGAATTCAGAACGATGACAACAGCTCA